GGCGGTGTGCCCCGGAGCGGCTTCCCTGTTCCCCGACCGCAGCCACCTCCGTCTTCCTAAACGGAGGTTCTGAACCTGCTGTTGGCGTAGTGAATGCCGTATTCCTGAACTACCTTACTCGTTACTCGCTGTTTTCTCTGTCCTGGGCTCCGGCCTGGGCCCTGGCCATTAGCTTAACAGGGAGACCTGCGCGCCCTCCCCCCTGGAGTGCCTAATGGAGCTTTCCGGAAGCTCCTCCATGGAGATCCGGCACCTGCTTGTTTGGGAATGCAGCTGCGGCCCTGAAGGAATTTGGAAAGCAGGCGGAGAGCCCCTCGTGAATGTGTTTGGTCTGGCTCCCAGTGCCCCGCCCCCACGGGTCACCGTGTGTCTGTGTTGGGCAGTGGGTTGTGAGGGCCTCCAGGTGTGGCTACACGGCTCCTGGGGGGAGCCGGGGCAGCCGACCTGAGGTGCTGGGTGCACTCCAAGACTAATTTATTTGAAAATCTGTTACAGAGAAACCTTCCCTCTGCTGGTTCCCTCCCCAGAAGGCTGCCACAGCCGCGGCTGGGCCAGGTCGAAGCTGAGGTTGGGCCTTTGGGGTCTGCCATGGGAGTGTCGGGCCCAGGTTTTCGGGGCAACTTGTACTGCTCTTCCCGGGGCCCTGAGCAAGGAGCAGCAGGATGTCGGCCCTCCGTGCAGTTGGGAGTCTTTTGCTCTAGCCTGGGAGCCCTCTGAGCGACTGTGAGGTCTGCCCCCCACACCTTGAGTGCACACAGTCGCTGTGGTGCTGGTGGGAACTGGAGAGGAGCAGACTCCCCTAGGCATGGGTCCCAAGTCCACGAAAGCTCTGGTCCCATGGCCGGGCCTGGAGTGGGGGTGCTTGGCTCCTGGCGGGTGGGGAAAGGGAATGGCCGACCCAGCCCATGTGACCCTGGAGTGAAGGGAAGCTTTCCTTGACTGGTCTGGCCATCTTGAGGCCTCTGCACTGCTCTTTTTTTTTTTTTAAGATTTATTTTTATTATTTTTATTGGAAAGGCGGATATACAGAGAGGAGAGACAGAGAAGAAGATCTTCCATCCGATGATTCACTCCCCAAGTGAGCTCAATGGCCGATGCTAAGCCGATCCGAAGCCAGGAGCCTCTTCTGGGTCTCCCACGCGGGTGCAGGGTCCCAAGGCTTTGGGCCATCCTCGACTGCTTTCCCTGGCCACAGGCAGGGAGCTGGATGGGAAGCGGAGCCGCCGGGATTAGAACCAGCGCTCATATGGGATCCCGGGCGTGCAAGGCGAGGACCTTAACCACTGCGCCACCGTGCCAGGCCCTGCACTGCTCTCTTTAGATCCCCGAGCCCCTGCCGGCTGCCTGGGACGTCTCTTGGCTGTCTTGTCCGTAGTGGCTTGTGGGGGGCTGTGTCTTGGGGCGGCCTGTGGTGTTTAGCACAGCTGCAGGCTGAGCGGCTGGCCGCATCATGGGGCCTCTGGCCTTGTGGCTTTTGGAGCTTGCACACGTGGGCCTGGTCCATGGAGCCGGTGCTGTGGGAGACCTCTGTGTGCCGGTGGACTTCCTCTGGGGAGTGTCCTGCCTGGAGCACCTCGGCTCTGGTCAGCACCTGCCGTAGAGGAAGCCCTGTTTGGGCAGGTGTGGGCTCAGTGGTGGGGGTCTGCACCTTGGTGCACCACTGGGTCCCCCGGCCTTGCACATCTCCAGCAAGCCTGGTTGCTTGGGCCTCAGGGGTACCTGATGAGGCATCTCCCTGGTCAGCGTCAGATACTTCTGAGAAGGCAGACTTTCCTGGGGCAAACACTGCCCTCTGTGCCACCCCCATGGGTCTTGGAGAAAGTGCCCAAGGCTGTGAGGGAGCTTCCGGAGCAGGTGGGGGCTGACGGCTGCCCGAGGGCTTCCCAGTGGGGGGGACTTGTCCTGTGGCTAGGGTAGAAGGTGGGTTGGAGTGTGGGCCAGAGCAGGGAGGTCTGTAGTTGTGGTCTGTAGTTGAGGTCTGTAGTCGGCTGAGGGGCCTGGGGTGTGGCACAGCGGGTTAAACTGGTGGGCGGAGAGCTGGTTTCAGTTTTGGCTTCTTTGCTTCCCATTGTGTTCCCTGCCCATGTGCGTGGAAAGGCAGCCTAGATGGCCCTGGATCCCCTGCACCCCTGTGGGAGCCTGTGGGGACAGAAGGCCTCTGTCTTTCACATACTGAGTTTTAGATTGAGTGTAGATGCAGATGGGAAACTGCATCTACAGTCGTCAGTGTTAGGCCAGATCCTCTGGGTCACCCAGGGGCAGCTAGAGGGGAAGTGGAGCATACGGGATTAGAGCCAAAATAAGCAAGTGGCACCGTAGGGCAGAGGGTTAGCCTGATGCGCTACTGTGCTTGTCCGGTGATGGCAGAGGCAGGGTGCACTCCCAGGAGGGAACTGGGACCCAGTCAGGTCTCTGCTGGGGGTAGGGTGGCCCAGTGCAGGCTGGTGAGGGTGCAATTGTGCTCCCTCCCACCTGCAGCCCTCTTGTTGGCACTGGGTCGCCTGACAGACCTGGTCAGGACTGCTCAGTGCATACATGGAGATGGGAGGTGGGTTGGGGGTGTCCGCTTCTGCCAGCCCGGCCTCTGGGTGCTGTGCGTTTCCTGGGGTGTCCGCTTCTGCCGGCCCGGCCTCTGGGTGCTGTGCGTTTCCTGGGGTGTCCGCTTCTGCCGGCCCGGCCTCTGGGTGCTGTGCGTTTCCTGGGGTGTCCGCTTCTGCCGGCCCGGCCTCTGGGTGCTGTGCGTTTCCTGGGGTGTCCGCTTCTGCCGGTCCGGCCTCTGGGTGCTGTGTGTTTCCTGGGGTGTCCGCTTCTGCCGGCCCGGCCTCTGGGTGCTGTGCGTTTCCTGGGGTGTCCGCTTCTGCCGGCCTGGCCTCTGGGTGCTGTGTGTTTCTTGGGGTGTGCTGGTAGTTGCAGTTCCACTGTTATAGACTTCGCACCGTTTGTTTTTCCCTCGTGTACTTTGTTTTCTTTCTGCTCTTGTCTTGATGTATGTTTTTATTTACATGTTAACTGGGGTCTTATATTGAAAATTATGAAGACAGTTTTGCAAATGTAGCTCTTCTGATTTTGCTTTTTCTTACTCTGCTTAGGAGAGTTTCCAGTTTTGATTGTTTTAGAACTCAAATCTGGAAGCATTTTTTAAAAAGACTTATTCATTTTTATTTTTATTGGAAAGGCAGATGCACAGACAGGAGAGACAGAGCAAAAGATCTTCAGTGCGCTGGCTCACACCCCAAGTGGCCGATCCGAAGCTAGGAGCCAGGAGCTTCTCCAGGTCTCCCATACAGGTGCAGGGCTCCTAATCTTTGGGCCGTCCTCGTCTGCTTTCCCAGGCCACAGGCAGGGAGCTGGGTGGGAAGTGGGGCATCCGAGATGTGAGCTGGCACCCATGCGAGATCCCAGTGCCTACAAGGAAAGGATTTACCCACAGAGCCATCGCATTGGGCCCAGCTGAGGGACATTTTTCAGATGAACCTGCAAATTGAATTTTGAGCAACAGGGTTTCCTTCCCGAGTACAGCCTACTTGTTCTGCTTCTGTAAGTGTTGAGCGTTCTCACGCCGCAGGGTGAACTGCTGCCCAGGCTGCTGGCGTCGGGGAGTGAACTCGAGTGGAGACCCGTGGCAGCATCCCCCTTGCATGATCCTGCGTCCTTCCCCTCTCTCAGTGCCACTCTGCTTTCAATTTTTTTAAGATTTATTTATTTTTATTGGAAAGGCAGGTATACAGAGATAAGGAGAGACAGAGAGGAAGATCTTCTGTCCAATGGTTCACTCCCCAAGCGGCTGCAATGGCTGGAGCTGAGCCATTCCGAAGCCAGGAGCCAGGAGCTCTTCCAGGTCTCCCATGCAGGTGCAGGGTCCCAAGGCTTTGGGCCGTCCTTGTCTGCTTTCCCAGGCTGCAGGCAGGGAGCTGGATGGGAAGTGGGGCCGCCGGGATTAGAACCGGCGCCCATATGGGATCCCGGCACGTGCAAAGTGAGGACTTTAACCATTATGCTATCACGCCGGGCCCTCTGCTTTCAAATCTTTGAAAGCAAATGCTGAGTGTTGTGAAACACCGAAGTTTGCTTTTAGCCTGTTGTAATTTCTGAACTTTGCCATTATGGGCCACATTAGGGAGGAGAGGGTACCTGTGTCTGGCTGATCAGTGGTGTCTAAAGAGTTGCTGTCTCTTTAAAATGAGCCGGGCCAGACTTGATCTTGGGTTGCCTGGGAGGCCACAGTTAAAGGGTTGCTCAGCTGTGGGGTGGTGGTCCTGAGGCTCACGGACACACAGTCTGAAGTCGGCCCCTGCTGGACAGAGCTGGGGACGGGCCTCCTTCGGGCGCAGCCCCCACTGTCGGGGGCCGTGTGGCTTCTCACCCCACAGTTAGGATCAGAAGAGGGGCCGCCTCAGAAAGCATCACACCTTCTTTTGCAAAAAGGGGATTTGTTGTGGTTCCTTAAGATCTACTAAATGTTTTCTTCTTTTCTTCCAGGAACTTATTCCAAAGTTGGAGCAGTTGTTGAAAAGACAAACCCTGTGACTTATGCACGCTGCCCAGTGAGCGGCCGGAGCGGCCCTGAGAGCCATTTGTTCGTGTGGAAGATTTTGGGGGACACGTCCAAACTTTGAGTTTGTTGTTGGACAGGTAAAGTGTTAACAGGATTACATTTTAACTTAGTAAGCTTGTGTTTTCATTTGCCTCAAACCCTACAACATGTAGAATTCGTGCTTATTGGAAGTGTTGTAACTTCAGTCAGAGGATTTCACATGGCTGTTTACGGTCCTCGGGGCGCGTGGTGTCCAGTCGGGGAGGTGGGCTGGCTGCTGCCGGCTCTCTTTGAAGGACTGTGGCTTCTCTGTAGCTCTGGCTGAGCTGCTCAGGGTACTGGCACACACACCTCCTCCCGTCTGCCTAGTGGGAGACCCAACAGGGACAGAGAGGGCCTAGGGTGCACCATGTGTGTCCAGGGAGCAAGTGCACGTGCAGCTGCCCCCGGCCAGGCTTGCTCCTGTGGGAGCTGCTTCTGTCTTTCCTTGTGCTTGTCACACTCAGACCACGGCTCTGGGGCTGGGTGTTGCTGCTGGTCCAGCCTCGGACTCCTGTCCTTGTGGCCCTGGCCGTGGCCGCGTCTGAGCGATGGCGAGGGGGGTGCGTCCAGCAGAGGGGCAGCAGCAAGCTGCCAGGCGCCCGCGCAGGAAGCTGTGCACGTTGAGCACGTTGGCGTGTTTCTGTTTTCAGCTGTCGGTGTACACTAGCCCTTCCCTGAGATGGAGTCCTCTGAGCTCGGCTCTGATTAGCAGCTGCACAGCTGGGAGCGAAGCCTCCAGGTCTGCCCCGTCTTTTCCCAGGCTTGCGATTTTACACAAGAACTGTACTCTGCAAGCTCCCGGAGCAGTTGGTGAGGAAGATGTGGGGCACACGCCCAAGGACATGGTGCTGTTCATGCCCATGGCCTCCCCCAGCACTGTCGGGGGTGGTGGCTGGGGGGCCGTGGGCCTGCTCAGTTGGGCTGGACTGTGCGTGTCAAGGCTGGCCTGGCCCAGTGCTGGTGTCTGGGTGGTCCTTGCCATAGCACGTGTCCTGGGTGATGTGACATGCTTGTGTGTTTGCGGCCGTGCCATTGTGCCCACGCTGGCTGGAGAGCCCTCAGAGTCCTTATGAATGCTGGGGCTGCTTGGCAGAAGGGGGTGGGCAGGGCTCCCTCCTGGGACCTTTGAACCTTGCCTGTGTCGCTCCTGACCTGCTGACATGTCCTCACCAGGAATGGATGACGCAGGAGCTGCAAGCAGCGAGGAGGCCCCTCGGGCCATCAAGCCCACCAGCAAGGAGTTCCGGAAGACGTGGGGTTTCCGGAGAACCACGATCGCCAAGCGCGAGGGTGTGGGAGACGTGGAGGCTGACGCTGGGGAGCCTGCCCCTTCCTTGCGGCGCAGCGGCCGGCAGCCCAAGCGCACAGAGCGGGTGGAGGAGTTCCTCACCACGGTGCGGCGCCGGGGGAGGAGGGGCGAGCCGGCATCCTGCCCTGCCACTGATGGCGAGACTGCCTCGGAAGGCAGTGTGGAGAGCGCCTCTGAGGTCAAGGGCGGCGGCCAGGCCGAACCTGGGTCTGTGGCAGCTGAGAAGGCCAAGGCGAGAGATGGTGAGGACGACACCTCCGATAGTGACAGTGACGGCCTGACCTTGAAAGAACTTCAGAATCGCCTCCGGAGGCAGCGAGAGCAGGAACCCCCAGAGAGGCCCCTGCGGGGGACCCCGAATCGCCTGAGGAAGCCGCAGCGGGAGGAGGACCCCACAGAGGCCGGGGCTGTGGAGGCAGACAGTGCTGCCGAGCAGGGCCTGCCCTCTCAGGAGGAGCCCGAGATGGCCCATGGGGAAGCGTCCCAGGTGGCCGAGGAGGACCCAGAGAGTGAGGCTGAGGGGCCAGTGGCTCGGGGAGCTGGAGAGGAGCGGGGGGCCATGGGCCGACCACAGCCCGAGTGCGAGATGTACGACCCTAGTGCCCTGTACTGCATTTGCCGTCAGCCGCACAACAACAGGTGGGTGGATGCAGGGCTGGCCTGGGCTGGGGGGCTCCGAGCGTGGGCGGCAGCAGCGCTGGCTGCTCTGTTCCCGGACACTGTCCATGCTGCTGCCTCTAGACTGCCTTGGGGTTGTTGGCGTGGGACCCACTGCTGAGTGGGGCTGTTATTGGGAGGTGTGGCCCGAGCCCCGTGCGGGGCAGGGAATGCCTTGAAGTTCACGGGTCTCTTGCTTTGTTTGTTCTGAAAGGCAGAGTCATACAAAGGGAGAGAGCTATTCTGTCTTGTGGTTCGTTCCCCAAATGGCGGCAACAGCCAGAGCTGGGGCAGGCCAAGGTCAGGAGCGAGGGGCTTCCTGTGGGTCTCCCGCATGGGGACAGGGCCCGAGGACCTGCTGTCCTTTGCTGCTTTCCGTGGTGCATTAGTGCGGAGTGGGATAGCAAGTGGAGGGTTCTAACACTGCACCACAGTGCTGGTCCCCACAGGTCACTTTTTTCTTTTTTTTAAGATTTATTTTATTGGAAAGTCAGGTTTACAGAGAGGAGGCGAGACAAAGATCTTTCATCTGCTGTTTCACTCCCCTAGTGGCCACAGTGGCTGGAGCTGGGCTATTCCAAAGCCAGGAGCCAGGACTCAGGAGCTTCCTCCAGGTCGCCCACACGGGTGCAGGGTCCTAGGGCTTTGGACCATCCTATGCTGCTTTCCCAGGCCACAGCAGGGAGCTGGATGGGAAGTAGAACAGCCTGGATGTGAACCGGTGTCCATATGGGATCCTGGATGGAACAAGATTAGCTAATTGAGCCATGGCGTCAGCCCCCATCCCCATAGTTTACTTTTAAAAAGGTTCCAATGAAAAATCAGAAGCAAATTCAGTGGAATGTTAAAACCTAAAGAACGGGCCCTCGGGTGATCCTGCTCTGTGTGACCCACAGGCTGCAGAGACACGCGTGGCCTGGTGCCCTGGCCCCGTGCCCAGCGTCCTGGTTGGTCGTTGCAGGTTCATGATATGCTGTGACCGATGTGAGGAGTGGTTCCATGGTGACTGTGTGGGCATCTCGGAAGCTCGGGGGCGGCTGCTGGAGCGCAACGGGGAGGATTACATCTGTCCAAACTGCACCATCCTGCAAGGGCACGGTGAACCGGATTCGGAGCCCACGGGCCAGCAGGAGGCCCCGGCAAGGCCTGCCCACACCGATGGCGCGGAACTCACAAGCATAGGAACCGTCGAGCAGAGGTCCAGTGAGGACCAAGGGATCAAGGGGAGGATTGAGAAAGCTGCTCACCCAAGTGGGAAGAAGAAACTCAAGATATTCCAGCCGGTGAGTGGGGGTCAGCAGCGAGGGGCCAGACCTGTGGGGCAGCCCCGTCCTCACACCAGGGCGTGACTGGCCTTGTGAGCTTGCAAAGGGGGAAGCGGCGTTGGCAGCTCCTGCTGGCAGCTGCCTCCCTGCCTGGCTGCTGTCATGCCTGCCAGGTGCTGGGCTGGGCTGGGGCTGGGGCGCTCCTTGTGGGTCAGTCTGGCTCACATTTTTGCTTGGGACAATGCTTTTTGTATCTGTCCCTCCTGGCTTTTGGTGTCCCCTTGGGCGTGCTCCCTGTCCAACATGGGGCGGACTCAGCGTGTCAGGTGGGAACACTGGTGCTGGTGCTGTTGGGCACAGAGTGGGTATGTGAGAGGAGACGGACAGCTGTGGCTGTTGGAGCATTCGCCGAGGAGATGCGCGGACGCCTGGATTTTATCTTCATCGTCCATGTTCTTGACATCAGCTTCTCTTTCGTTCCAAGCACAAACTTGATTTTGTGGAGGAAAAGTGATTATCTTAATTATTCGAGAAGCGGTATTTTGCTTTAGGACATTTGAGGGATGTGTTGTTTTCCTGGCACACATCTTCAGTGACTGCGAGGCCACTGGGTACAGCCCTGGCAGGGCCTGGCAGAGTGCTGGCATCCTTAGACCCAGCCGCAGCACTGACCCGGCTGCACGGGGCCCCGGGGACTGGGGCGCTGGCCCGGCTGCACGCCCCCGTGAGGCCTCTCCCTTCTGGAGTTGAGGCTGCTGCTACTGGGTGTCCTGTTTTTGTTTGTTTACTTTTTAAAAATTATATTTATTTTTTATAAAGATATATTTGTTTTTATTACAAAGTCAGATATATAGAGCAGAGACAGAGAGGAAGATTTTCTGTCCAATGATTCACTCCCCAAGTGAATGCAATGGCCGGTGCTGTGCCGATCTGGAGCCAGGCACCAGGAACCTCCTTTAGGTCGCCCACACGGGTGCAGGGTCCCAAGGCTTTGGGCTGTCCTCGACTGCTTTCCCGGGCCACAGGCAGGGAGCTGGATGGGAAGTGGAGCTGCTGGGATTAGAACCAGCACCCATATGGGGTCCCGGAGCATTCAAGGTGAGGACTTTAGCTGCTAGGCTACCGTGCCAGGCCCTATTTTCTAAATTTTACTTGAAAGCCAGAGTTAGAGAGGGAAGGAAGGAGAGACAGAGAGATCTTGCATTCACTGGTTCACTTTTCAAATGATCTCAGTGGCCAGGCTTCAGCTGATCTGAAGCCAGGAGCTGCTTCTTGGTCTCCCATGCGTGTGCAGGGTCCAAGGCTGGATGGGAAGCGGAGCAGCTAGGACACGAACTGTCACCAGTATGGGATCCCAGTGCTGCCCATGGAGGATTGGCTTGCTGTGCCACTGTAGCGCCTGAGTATGCTGTACTCTTGTTCTGCACGGGTCCCAGCTCACTAGGGCAGCTGTGCTCAGGAGGCTGGGTCTCCGGGGAGGATTTTGTTGCTGAAAGCCTCTTCTGAGCTGACAGAAGGACACCTGAGGGTTGTCTAGCGTTTGCCTGATCACAGAGGTGCGCTGTTGCCTCAGGTGCCTCAGTGTAGTGCTTCCCTGGGGGGCGTGGACCGCAGTTGGAGTAAGATAGGCATGGTCCGTGCCAGGGCACTGTCGGTGGCAACTGCAGGGCCCTCCGGCTGCCAAGGCTGGCCCGGACGCCATCTGAAGTCGCGTTCTCTTGGGCAGGTGGTGGAGGCCCCTGGTGCGGCCAAGTGCATCGGCCCTGGCTGCGGCAGAGTGGCGCAGCCCGACTCCGTGTACTGCAGCAGTGCCTGCATCCTGAAGCACGCTGCAGCCACCATGAAGTTCCTCAGCTCAGGGAAAGATCAAAAACCAAAACCTAAAGAAAAGGTGAGGACGAAATCGGAAAAGCTGAGTCTTCCCAAGTGGAGTGTGCAGGTGAGTGTGCCTGGCAGCCCTCAGGTGGCCAGGCAGCCCCACAGGCACGGGCACCTGCTGGCCAAGGGCCAGGCGGGTCAGTGAGCAGCATGCTGAACTTGGCCCCCGCATCAGGAGCCCAGGAGCTGGTCTGTGTAGTTAGCTGGGCCCTGGGACGGCCACTGGGGCCTTGTTCAAGGCCTGGCTGTGGATGCGCCTCATGTTTGCTGTTCTGAGAGTTGGGACGAGTTGGGGTGTCCAGAGCTCACTGTGGCCTGGGAAACTTCCTGGAACTCAGGTGGATGTGATGTACCCCAGTGAGACTGTAAAGCTGGTGTTTGGAGTGCTGGAAGTGCTAAAAGATGCCATTTGTGTGGGTGCTGGGCGACAGGAGGAGCGATGGCGTCTGTGCTGCTGTCTCCTTCGCCCTGTTGCCACCCTGGGACGTGCGAACGGGTGGGCGAGGGTCCTGAGCGTGAGCCCGAGAGGAGGGAGTGTCTAGGCCCTCGTCAGCGACCCTCTCGTGATTGGGGCTTTACTCGTTATCCAGGCAGGCATTAAAATCCCTTCTGTGCACAAGAGACCGGCTCCAGAGACGAAGGAGACCCCAGCAAAGAAGGCGGTGGCAGCTTCTCCCCGGGGCGACGCCTTGGCCAAGGAGGCACCGAGCGAGGGCACCCCGTCCTGGGCAAGCGACCACAATTACAACGCGGTGAAGCCGGAGCAGAGTGCTGCCGCCGCCGGGCCTCTCTTGTATAAATGTACGTATTTCCCAGGGGCTGGCTGCCTGCTCTGGAGAGCGCTCCCTGGGCCTCCCCAGAGCTGTGAGTCACGCCGATGTCCTAGTGCTGAGCCCACGCGTGGGCGGCGCCCTCAGAGCCGGAAGCAGGTGCCTGTGCCCAGGAATCCTCTTGGACCCCGTGGTCCTGTCCGTGGCACCTGGGGTTTCCCTGTCGGGCTTTCCCACCCTGTTGTGGAAGGCTTGCTGCTGCTGTGCCTCGCCCTGGCAGTTGGCTGCATCAGTGTGTTGGCACTGCCAGACCCGGTAAGTATCCATGTGGCCGTGAGCGCAGGCTGGACAGACACCGCCCGGTGCTGGCAGCTCCTCCCTGTCCCACCCGAGGGCTCGGGTCTGGGTGCCGTGCGTGCTGGTTTCCACATTCTCTGCTGTTAGCACATAAAACCTTCAGCACCTCTGTCCGTTCCTGTCGTATCTGACGCTCGGGCCAGTGGGGCTCTCAGGAGGGACTTTGACCTGAACCGGGCAGACACAAGCTATTTCACGGTTACTCACTCACTACACACCCATCTCACACTGCCGAGTCTGCAGGCTGTCCTGGTGCCGTGGTAAGTGACAGCGTCTGGCTGTAGTGGAGGTTGGGGGGAGAGGACTTCTTGGTTCCCGGGGGTGTCTGGAGTCAAAGGCCCCAGCCCTGCCTCAGAGTGTCGACACCAGCTTTAGTCTTAGCCACAGGACACCTCCTGCGGCATCAGGGAAGCCATTTTCAGTTTGACCCTAACTCCTGTGCCCTTTGAAGAATCACCCTGAATGCCATGATGGGACAGTGGGCTGCGAGGGCACCACAGCGAGCTTCGGGGTGCTGCTGCAGGCTGGACCAGACCTAGCCCACCCAGGGAGAGATGGGCCCGGCCCCGCCCCCATGGAGAGTACTGTCATACACCTGAGGCGGCTGAAGCTGAGGACCCCGTGGGAGCCATCTGTGTCCCTCTGCAGCCGCTGTGGCCTAGGAGTGTTAACGTCCCCAGGAGGCCTGCAGGGCAGTTAAGGGGAGCAGGCCCAGGCAGACAGCTCAGCAGCGGGACTGGAGCCACGGTCATCTAGTTCAGTGCAGGTGACTTCCGGCTCTGCCCTGGCACGCAGGACGGGCACGGAGTCAGGGCTTGGGGGCTCCCTGAGGGCTCGGAGGAGGGGCAGGCTCCACTGCTCGCCCCCTCCCTGCTACACCTGTTCCCCTGAGCTCAGAGGAAGTGGGACAGGCTGGGTGTCGCAGCCTCTGCCCGGTGGGCACGTCCACATCTCCGAGTGAGCCGGACACCCTCCCCACACATGACATACACACACCATACACACTTGGAGCCAGCTGACTTATCCTCGAAGGGCCTTCCCACAGGCAGGCGGGAAGACAGCAGGGCCATGGGACCTGGCCACAGCCCTGCTGAGGAGTGGGTGGCTCCGTTTCCCACTGGGGGCGAAAGCTGTGGAGGCACCTCATGGATAGGCCAGCGGAACCAGGCCTCTGGGTGTGCCCATGTTCAGCGCTGGCTGGCGCCGGTCACCCTGGCGCCGAAGCAGGCTGCAGCCCTAGCCCTGCCTGGGCACTGGGAGGAGCCTGTGGCACAGCTGACCAAGCAGCCTCTACTGCAGTACTTCCACGGCCGGCCAGAGCCCCGGAGTAGGCTGGCGTGGGGCCTGCACCTGTGCCGCTGCTGCTGGAGGGCACGCTGCCCGGGAGAGAGCACCCATCTCGACTCGAGGTGACCCCCTTGGCCCCGTCGCGCCCCTGCTCGGTTGGTGGAGTGACTGCTTGGGGTACAGTTCCTTTAGCTGATGGAGCAATTGCCGTGATTGTCCACAAAATCACCCTTGGGTTTCTGTGTCCTTATTCCGTTTTTTCATTTTTATTCCTAACATGGTTAGGACATTTAGTTTATTTTAAAGACAACAACAAAAAAAAGTTTTTATTGGAAAGGCAGATTTACAGAGAGGGAGGGACAAAGATCTTCCATCCGCTGATTCATTCCCCAAGTGGCTGCAACAGCTGGAGCTGAGTTGATCTGAAGCCAGGAGTCGGGAGCTTCTTCCAGGTCTCCTGTGGGTGCAGGTCCCAAGGCTTTGGGCCACAAGTAGGGAGCTGGATGGGAAGTGGAGCAGCCAGGACATGAACCAGCATATGGGGTGCCCGGCTTGCAGATACATTAGCCAGTCGGCTTCACCCTGGCCCCAGTTAAATGTTGATTTATTAGGGTTCTGGACAGCACCCTCAGTGTTCGTACAGATAATTCCTAGTTGGAAAATATTTTTGAAAACTTATTTTTATTGGATATATGGAATTAGGAGAGAGCTGCCATCTGCTGGCTCACTCCCCAAACGGATACAACGCCTGGAGTTGGGCCAGTGCGAAGTTTGGAGAAGCTTTCTCTTGGTGTCCCGTGTGGGAGCAGGGTCAGTCCTCCATGGCTTTCCTGGCCCTTAAGCAGGGACTGGGATAGGAAGGTGAGCAGCTGGGACTTGAACCAGCGCCCAAGTGGGATGCTGGTGCCTTGGATGGAGACTTGCGCTGCTGCCTCGTGGTTCCGGCCCTGGTGGACATGTGTAGTTAAGAGGGTGAGAATGGAAACCTGCAGCTTTGTAACCACCATCCAGAGAGCCAGCCCTGCTGCTAGCCATGACGGAAGTGCTGCCCGGACGGCCTGCAGGGCGGCTCCAGGGAACTCCAGGATTCCAGAAGCACCTTCCAGCGGACCCTAGGAGGAACACGCTTCTGTCAGTGTGGGGGCCAAGGGGGCTTTTGTCTCCCCTGTGCAGGACAATAAAACAAGGAGCCTCTGTTTTCATCTCTCCAAGCCTCCCAGCTAGAGCTTAACCGCGTCTTTAAATGCCATTCATGTAAACAATGAATGTCACAGTGTAGAGAAGGGGGCTGGGGGCGGGGAGAAGGTGAAAGTCTGGCAGGCTTGGGCTGTGTTGCCCAGGTCCGCCTCTGGGGAGCCCCGAAGCCTGCACCTCGAAACCCTGCAGCGGCAGGTTGTAAGTGGACACACTACACCCGCCTAGTTACATTCTTGGCTTCTAAACATTAGAAGTAAACTTATATTAATCAGAACTCTTGCTACTTCCCGTTTATTTAAACTGGCTGCTGGGAACCGTAGTCGTTCTCAATGAAGGAATGTGAGGTAGCCGGCCCCCTGCTGTGGGCTGGGCCCCCGAGGGGATGGGCTTGTCTCTGCTGTGTCAGCAGTGCTGCCCCCCACTGCTACAGTGGGGGACACTTGAGGAACGCAGTGGCTCACCTGCCACCTGGACACGCCTGCTGCAAGCCAGCAGACAAGATGACCAGTTGCTGGCCGACTCTCCTTTAATCCTGGTGGGTCACACCGAAGTGTAATTTAGGAGGGTCTGACCTTGACGTCAAGTGTGCCCCAAGGAGCTCAGCCACCCCCAGAGATCACCGGTTTGCTCTCAAGACTCAGGTGCTGCCCCTCTGAGGGCAGAGCGGGCCAGAGCAGCATCGCCACCTCAGGTTGGGGTTCAGAATGTTCCACTGGCCAGCACCTCGCCTGTGTCTGCAAGGATTGGGCAGTTCTGTTGCTTGGGGAACTCCAGAGGATTCCCATGGGAGAGGACTGCCCCAGGAAGACCCGCGGCAGAAGGACTGCCGCTCTGCCCCCAGAGTGCAGCCAGGACTGGGGTGGTGTGGGGCCTGCCGGGCTGTGAAGCCCTGTGGGTCCTCCAGGGCACCATTGGCCGGGGTAGAGGGGGCTGGCCACCTTCCATTGTGCGCCGAGGTCCGCTAGTGCCACCCAGTGGCCAGTGGTGCTATAGCAACAGGCTGCACTGCAAGGCGCTTCACTATTTGGGGACACTGGTCTGTTGCAGCATGCTGCCCAGTGGGCATGCCAAAGCCAGGCTCGGGCACTTCGCCTCTGAGATAGGAGGCTGGGGGTCCTGTGGCCTGTTTCCTCCTGGTTCAGCTGTGCTACCTGCTGGACACTGCTAAGATCAGCACCTTCCTGCAGCCAGCGCTCCCTCCATGGGCAGGCGTGGCGTGCAGGGCCCACAGGTCTGGTGGGAGGTTTCTAAATTTGCACAATGAAATGAGCAGTGAATCCAAAGTTTCAACTTCTTGCTGACTTTTGACCCAGAAGTGTAATGGTCATTGCCTTTTGCAAGTGCAGTGGCTGGCTGCCGTAAAAGGAGGTCCCCTAGGGTTAGGAGTTGTGTAGTGCCCCTGATGTGGTCCACTTAGCCCGACAGGTGACACCGACAGGCAAGTGACAGCCCAAGCCTGCCAGGTGCCGGCCTTTTCCCGGTTTGCCTGCTGAGGCGTGTGTGTTCTCGGGAGTGGCAGTAGGGGGCGGCAGAGAGCCGGTGAAAGGCTGGAAGCAGCTGCTTTCCCAAGGGGCCACGTGGAGATTACAGAAAGTTACCTTGATTGAGGACACACGCCAGTGGACCCTGGCTGATTTAGTCACGCACTGGGATGACTTGGATTTTGCCTGAATGAGGGATATGCAGTTGTCCTGGGAGGTGGGAGAGGCAGTGTTGGAATCTTCAGAGTGAGCCCCTCTCTGACCTGCAGGGACGGAAGGGTAGGCCCTAGAGCCCTCCCGGAGGCAGTGGCATTTCCATTTGGCCGGAGTTCCGGCCTCCCTTCCTGGTCTCATGAGCCTATTTATGTCTGCTGACTGGTGACCTGACCTTTTCTCCTTCTCCTGGGGCAGTCTCCAAAATCTACACCTCAAAAAGGGTGGCCAGGTCCAGGGTCCCCCAGGTTTGGGGGCCTGCTGAGAGGGGGTGTTCAGGCTCTGCCCATGGGGAACCTACATCCCTCTTTGCAAGGAGGGGATTGGCTTGGGGCAGGAAGTGGGTTTAATCACCTGTTCCCTGTGTGTCCCAATATTTTAGTTTGCTGGACATTGTGACTGCTGTAGAGTTCCCAAAAGGGCACCCCATGAAGTGGGGTTCAGGTGACACAATGAGGGTGATGGGGTGATCTGTTAGGCCACACGGTGGGTCTGACTGAGCTGAGAGTTGCCCTCCACACTGCTGAGCTGGAAGTGAAGGAATCTCTTACCCTATAACATGAGGAAAGGTGTGACTCCCAGGCTTAGCACCATGGGACACATTGGCCAGGGGATGGTGAAATTAAGGCTACTAGCAGCTCCAGCTCCTACCAGCATGTCTTGGTTGGCAGCAGGCCTGGCCCAGGCTTCCTTGGGTAGAGACACTGGACAGTGAGGCCTCATTTGCACTTGGAGTCCCATTCTTTCTGGGGTTCCAAGTCTGGTTGCAAGGGCAGAGGTCTGATGACTGGTTTCCAGCTCAGACCAAAGTTGGCAGCCTGGGAGTCTGCATGGGGCATTGCAGTGCAGGCTCTTGCTGCCTCTGGCGCTGGATGGACACGGTCCCCTGCCACCAAGGCAGTCTGCATGCCAGGCCTCCCACTGTGGCATGGCTGCCCCTTGGGGCCTGGTGGTTGGCCTGGTCACATGTGGACGGGCAGAGGGCCTCCATCTTCTGCCCGAGCGTCTTGCCATAATCTCGTTGGAGTTCAGAGAACTCGGGCTCACCAGCCACATGGTTTGAATTCCAGCTCTGGGTTCTACATGGTGACCCTGGTGTAGTGGCATCACTGCATTCTTGGCTTCCCCAATCATCTTCCACACTTCTGTTTCCTGTGTCGCTACTGGCCTTAGCTGCCGTTGACTTGTCCTTGGGGCTGGATGTGAGGAGAAGAACGCGTGTGCGAGTTCACCAGGAATCTCCCCTGCGTGTTCAGTAATCGCAGCGTCAGTCTCCACCCACCGTTGTGATAAGGGGACTTTGTCCCGGTGCGGAGCTCAGCTGGTGCCTGAATGATAACTTGAAGTGAAAGCTTTAATGAAGCATTTCTAGAAATCTCTATTTCAAAGGTGGAGAGGCAGAGGCCTCCTCTCCAGTGGGTGATTTCCCAAATGGGGCCAGGGACTGAATCCAGGCCCCCAAGTGGAAGCACAAGCCAATTTCCCCCAGGCCCCTCTCCGAAGGAGGCTGGAGCACAGGCACTCCCACTGCCAGGGTTATCACTGTGCTGTGCACCTGCCCTGCACCCCTACCCCTCTTGGCAGCCAAGCCTTACACTCTCCTGTAGCTAGGGGCTTCCGTGTATCTCAGTCATGCCTCCTGTGTCCTGGTTGTCACATGATAGCTACCGCCTGATGTGGCCTCCTCCTCTGTTCCAGCTGTGAAGGAAGAGCGAAGAGCAGAGGAGAAGGTGGCGGCTGCAGCCTCCAAGAAGATGGCTGGGCCAGGCTCTGCGACGGGCATGCAGACCGCACCCCGAAGTCTCCTCCCGAAGACAGCCAAGATGGTCGTCAGAAAGTCACCCTCGGGCTTCAAGGGCACCATCCCCAAGAGGCCCTGGCTCTCGGCCACTCCCTCGGGCAGTGCATCGGCCACAAGGCAGGTGGGGCAGACCACTGTCCCTGGGATGACCGCCTCCAAGAAGTCTCCTGGGGCTGCTGCAGGGGCAGCTGACAGGAAGCCCGCTGCGGCCTCTGCAGCCCCCGGACACGTTGGGCCCGTGAGCCCTGCACCATCCCAGCCCAACTCCCAGATCCGGCAGAACATAAGGCGCTCATTGAAGGAGATCCTGTGGAGAAGGTGAGCTGTGTGCTGCTGTGGCTGTCCCCCGCGGCCTGGAAACGCAGGTGGCTAATGTCACTCTTGTCCCGCTCAGAGTGAACGACAGTGATGACTTGTTGATGACCGAGAGTGAGGTGGGCAAGGTGGCCCTGCGCATCGAGAAGGAGCTGTTCGGCCTGTTCCAGGTCACGGACAACCGCTACAAGAGCAAGTACCGCAGCCTGCTGTTCAATCTGAAGGACCCGAAGAATCAGGTGTGTGCGGGGCCCGCCTCGGGCAGGAGGCTCCGTCCCGCACTGCTGTCTCTGTCCTTGCCATGGCACCACTCCGCACCACTCCTCTGACCGTTGTGCCTGGGAGGCGAGGGGGCATTCTGTACCCCCACAGTGTGAACCCATGCCAGCACTGAGGGTTTGTCTTGGCTCTGCTGGGGCCCCGGGCCTGGGGTTTTCCTTTCACTCTCCATGTCCGTTTCTGACCAAGTGGCTGAACGGTGTGTGTTTGTAGGGCCTCTTTCATCGTGTTCTGCGTGAAGAAATCTCTTTGGCGAAGCTTGTGAGAATGAAGCCAGAGGAGCTTGTGTCCAAAGAACTGTCTGCGTGGAGGGAGAAGCCCCGCAGGCCTGTGAGTGGGCACGGCAAGGGCGCGGGTCGGCTGTCTGTGGGCCGGGAGGCGCAGGCCGAGCCCCAGCTTGTCCCTTTCCCCACAGCCCCCAGAGCCCAGAGTTAAGCTGCCGAATGGAAGCAGGCGGCCGGCCACGGTGCCGGAGGCCGTCCCTGACATGGAGGACTCGCCGCCTGCGTCGGACTCGGATGTAAGCTCCTCCCGCCTCCGGGGCTCAGGGGACACGCGCGAGCTAGTGAGCTAGCGTGGCTGCTAGCGTGGCAGCACACAGGCACGGCACAGTGCCTCCCGTGACCCGAGAGACGCCCGTTAGGAGAGTGTGTGCAGGTCACTTGCTTCAGTTTGCATCCAAATGAGCTTACCCTTTAACTCCATTTTCCCGAGTATTTTTGAAGTAGCCCCGAATACTTAAATTGGATATTTTTGGCACCACAATGTTTGGGTCTCTCGTCCTCTCTCCTGCGAGTGGCGGGCTGCGCCCATGGCTGAGCCCGGGAGACATGTGGCCCCTGTGGTTGCAGGAGCAGCAGGAGGCGGTGCGGACCGCCCCGGAGAGGAGTGTGGCTCCCGCCCTGGACATCTGCAGCAGCATGCTCAAGGACACGACCGGCCAGCACCGTGCCCACTTGTTCGACCTCAACTGTAAGATCTGTACAGGTGAGCGTGCTGAGGGGCTGGACAGGCAGTGTGTGCAGACAGAGACAATGGGATTGTAAAGGCAGTTTGTCACCTCGGGTCAGTTACTGGGCCGGGCGGTTCCTGTGGCCCTCGCCTGCCTGGGCTCACATGCCCCGCGTCCCTGCACCTGTCGGGGTGGTCATGCAGTCTGTTCCTCAGGTCAGGTTCCATCGTCAGAAGATGAACCAGCTCCAAAGAAGCAGAAGCTGTCGGGCTCTGCTCGGAGGGAAGACTTGAAACCCAAGCATGACGACTCCCCGCCCGACCCAGCGGCCGGTGCAGCTGCGCCCACGGCCCTGGAGGCTGTGCCAGAGGACGCCACTGCGCTGGAGCAGGACATGAAGCCCGGAGATGGCTGCCCCGAGGCCTCCCCGCCGGATGGCCTGGCTCCTTGCCTGGCCTCCTCTGGGGCTGCGGTGGTCACCACGGTCACCGTGTCTGGCCGGGACCCCAGGACTGGTTCGAGTGCTGCTAGTGTAGGCCTGGGCCCGGCAGTGACCCGGCTGGACGGTCCCCACACGACGGAGGGCAAAGCTGAACCACTGAAGGCTGTGCTGACTGCTGCCTCAGTGCCCAAGTCCATCCTGGCCAAGCCGTCTGCGTGCCCTGAGCCTCGCTACCTGTCGGCTCCGCCGTCCTCAGGGGCCAGGTACGGGCTTGGCGTGCCCTCTGCTCGCCAAGGGGATGGTCATGGCTGCGTCAGCAGTTGCGGCTCAGGGGGGCCCAGGTGTAGGATGTGGGGCTGTGGAGAACGGGCATCTGCATTTGGGGTCACAGCGGCTCAGCTTTCTCTGCCCAGGGCCGTGCGGTCCCCATGGTTAGCCCAGGGCCTCTGCAGTGTCCGTGTGGCTGGCTGGCCGGCTGCTCACCGTGGTCATGTTTCCATCTGGTCTTGTTTTTCAGCATCTCAGACCCTCGGGGCACTCCAGAGGGAGACACGAGCCTCTTCCTGTCTCGGCTCAGCACTGTGTGGAAAGGGTTTATCAACATGCAGAGTGTGGCAAAGTTTGTCACGAAGGCGTACCCCGTGTCGGGGGGCTTTGATCACCTCAGTGAGGTTAGAACAGAGGGGTGCGCAGTGGGTCCTGCCCAGACCGTAGGGGTGGCAAGTGTGGAACCCTGCCACGGCTCGGCGCTGCAAGCTGCGGTGTGCTGGCAGTGGTGTAGACGGGCAGAAAGCCCAGCCAGAGGCCGGGGTGCTGGTGATCTGTCCAGCCAGGCCGTGACAGAGCTGTCCCGTTCAAGGGAGTGCAGACAGCAGGCTGTTGCTCCTTTAGCATGGAGCCAGTCACGCGAATACCTGCACTGGGTGTCTAGGAAGAAAATGCACTGCTGGCGATGGTCTCTGAGTGAGTTGTTGTCCTGCAGGTCTCTGTCACAGGCCCCTGGCTTTCGGTGGCTCAGCCCCCTGGGCCTGTCCCAGCCAGCGCTAGGGTTGGTCAGTTTTGCCTGCGGATCCTGTCACTGGTTGCTCACTCAAAGTACTTTTTGTTTAGGACTTGCCCGACACAATTCACATTGGTGGGAGGATTGCGCCCAAGACGGTTTGGGATTACGTCGGCAAGCTGAAGTCCTCTCTCTCCAAGGTATGTGCTTGTAGCTGCAGGTGGGCAGTCGGCTGAGGGGCGCCTGCCTGTGGGCGGGGCTGCCCCTCAGCAGGTGAGCTTGCAGAGAGCACCTGTGTCCTAGGCACATGACTGCGAGGCTCTGTGGGACACTGCAGCAATGCAGGCGTGGGGTGCACACAGCTGCGTTTTTGAGGGAAAGGCAGGAGTGGCAGCCGGGAGCATGGACGGCAATCTGGCCAGGGCCTCAGTCTGTCCCTGTGGGCACCTGGGACTGAGTGTCGTTTCATCTGGGAAGGGCCTGCAGTGACCGTCAGGGTCATGGGAGTTCTGGACTCTCCCTCTGTTCTCCCTCAGGCCTGGATTCACCCTGTGATTCCAGCGCCCTTGATCGTGGCCGTCGGTGCGTCACAAAGCCCCCTTGGCTGCAGGGCCACGACACGGGTGGCATGGCCACCGAGAGCGCCCTTGCTGACACCCGCGTCCTGCCTCTGCCCGCTTGCAGGAGCTCTGTCTGATCCGCTTCCACCCGGCCACGGAGGAGGAGGAGGTCGCTTACATCTCGCTCTACTCGTACTTCAGCAGCCGGGGCCGCTTTGGCGTTGTCGCCAACAACAGCAGGCACATCAAGGACCTGTACTTGATCCCACTGAGCGCCAAGGACCCGGTTCCTTCCAAACTCCTGCCGTTTGAGGGGCCAGGTAAGCGCCAGTGTGGTGCCCGCGGCTTCCCCCTCACGGACGAGGGTCCCTGGGAGCTGCCAGTGGGTGGAGTGCTCGCTGGGGGCAGAGCCACTGAAGCGATGAGCCCCCCATGAGAAAGACCACTTTGTGTCAGGCCTGAACTGACGTGAAGGTCTGTGGGTCAGTGAGGGCCATACCTCAAGCACTAGGGGTGCACCTGCGGCCCTGGCTGGCCTGGGGCCTCAGAGGCAGCGATGCACTGGCCTGGGCCTGGTGGTGCGTGCTCTCGAGTGAGGCTGATTGTCAGTAATCCCAGGACCTGAGCACTGTGCTGCTAAAAACATTTATGCATGTATGTATTTATTTACTTGAAAGAGTTAGAGAGTGCACGAGGAAAAGGTCTTGCACCTGCTGGTGCACTCTTGCTGTGGCCACAGTGGCTGGACGGGGCTGGGCCAGGCTGAAGCCAGGAGCTCCTTCCAGGTCTCCCCTGTGGGCGCAGGGCCCAAGTCTTTGAGCCATCCTCCACTACTTCCCCAGGCTGTTAGCAGGGCGCTGGTCAGGACATGGAACGGCAGGGACTTGAATTAGGGTCTGTATGGTATGCCGGTGCCACAGGCAGAGGCTTAGCCGGCTACACCTCGGTGTTGGGCCCTCTTGACAGGATGTGTAGCATCACCCTCTGGAAGCGCAGTGCTCAAGGCTGCTGTCAGACCTGCCCCTTTGGCAGCTGTGTGGAGACGGTATGCCTGGCTCTTGGGCTGGAGAGCAGAAGCAGTCCCGAGCACTGGCCTCCGCAGGACAGGAGGCTTCTCGCCCCATGACGCAGCCAGAAGCAGCAGGGCCAAGGTGTGGGCCGGGAGCATCGGGGAACCGGCTGAACCCCAGGGGAGCAGCACCACGTGGAGGAAGCTGAGGGCTGGCCTCGTGCTGGCCTTTGGACACTGACACCTAGGAGACGCTCCACGGCTGACAGTTCAGCCAAGCCCAGCCTGGCTCCATGGGACAGCTGTCCTGGTGCTTGCAGGGTACAGCTGTGGCTCTGTGTGTATGTGTGTGGCTCCATGTGTGTGTGCGCGCGTGCAGATGGTTCTGTGTTGGGGTCTGGGTCCTGTCTTACGGTTTTTCTCTACACAAGGCCTTTGGCAGCACGGGCCAGGGCCGAGGGTATGGCCTGTGGCTCTCCTGGGTGTGCTGCCCATGAGCACATGCCCAGGAGGTGCTGGGCTGCATGGCTGGCTGGACCCCTCAGCAGCTGCAGGCTCAAGGGGCAGCTGGGAACATGGGCTGTTCCCGAGCTCTCCTGTCCATGCTGGCGAGTGGTGAGGACGGCCGGGGCACTGGGTGCCAGTGCCAGCTGGGCTCGTGGCTCTTTAGCTGCATGGCATTGCATCTAGCATTGCAGAGCCAGCTGGACTCCCCAAGGCCTCTATCCTGTCCGTTGTACCCAGAAATCCCAGTTTATCATGGGTCCATGGCACATTTGGGGACTTCACCCAGTCCTCCGGGGGAGCTGGCCACCTTCATCTGCGGGGGTCAGCTCAGCCGGAGCTGTGAGGCTGTGGAGTCACACTCCTGGACCCTGTTTGCCAGGGCCGCCTCGGGTCAGGTCCATCTGCCCTGGCGGCTTGGAGCCTGCAACAGGATAGTGCCTTGCTGCTGACACCCCCCCACCCCCCCGCCTGGCGCTTCTAGTAGTTGAGGTTTCGGGGTGTCTGCAGGGGCTCTCTGACCAGACGCGTTCTGGCCTGGGAGGGGGTGAAAACCACTGCCACCCACGGGGTTCTGTCCCTGTGGAGGGGGAGGGCCCGGGCCACCTCTGATCCACAGTTACCAGCAGCTGCTCTCCAAAGGGGCCGAGAAGGTCAGTGACCAAGAGACATTCCAGGTCAGGGCCCCTGCATTCCCTCATGTCCCTGTGTGTCAGTGTCCACTGCGTGCACATCCCCACATGTCCCCACATGTTCCTGCACAGGTGTGTCGTCAGAATGCGAGTGTTCAATGGCATGTACTGTGTCCTTGAGCAATAAGGCATTTCCTACTGGCTGCTTCCAGCAGCTGCGTGTAGCACACCCTGCATGGGTCTGTGCTGAGAGTGCACATTACCACATATGTGGGGAGGGTCGGGGAGCACGCTGTCTCCACATTTGCCAAGTCTGTCAGACTCACACTTAGGGACTGCCGTTGACTAAATTCACACAGGTTCTGTCCAGGTCTGTGACCAACCAGACGTAGGAGGGTCCTGGTCATCTTCATGAACTCAGGGTTCAGTGGGGTCATGTCGGGTGAGGAGGACTCACTCTCGGCGGCTCGTTCAAGAAGCAGAGCTGCCCACTGGCTTGTGGAAACTCGTCCCACCAAGTGCACAGGTCCCGGGTCTGGCGCGGCCACTGCATCCGCAGCTGGCTTCTCCCAGCTGGAAACTTGGACGCAGACATGTGGAGCTGGCAGTTTGTTTCCTAGTGTGAGGTGTGTTTTGTGAAACGGTATCCCTCGCACCTGGTGGCTTGTCCAGTGGCCCCACCATGGTCTGCCAGGGCAGGGCGAGTGCTCACAGCAGGATGGTGCCAAGATGGGGTGAGGTCGGAAAGGGAGCCCCTTGGCAGTGGCCTCTGCCCACTCTCAAGGCTCGGGTTGTTGGGGTAGGGGTGACATGTGGACTCAGTTCCAGGCACAGCCAAGATGCGGTGCAGGGGCCGGCTGCAGGTCAGGCTAGGACGGGGTTGTGGTCCTTGGAGGAGGTGAGTGGGATGTGATGCTGGGGGTGCCGTGGGCCTGCTGCGAAGCCAGGCTCTGAGGGGCCTGCTACTTACAGACCATTGTGGATAGGACATGGTCAGAGCCACCTGTCTTTGTCAGTAATGTCAAGATGGGTGTGCCTGGGAGGTTGGTGCAGCTCTTGGCTGGACTTGCTCCCTGCACCAAGGCTTAGCTGAACAATGGATGCCTGTTACCCGGCACAGACCCTTCCAAGGAAGTTTCCCCGTTTGCCAGGGCTGCCCCTTATCCCGCTGGGCTGTTGCTGGTGCTGTGAGGAGCCTGCTCCGAAGGCCTTCCTGCCGTCCGCTGAGCTGGCCGCTCCCACTGGCCATTAGGCATGCAGAAGTGAGGCGCTTAGGTGGGGAGTCCTGAGGTTGTCATGGCTGGAGGGCAGCAGGAACCTGTGGGGGCCTGCCCGGTCTTGTCCACGCTCGGTACTGGCTCCGCACAGCTGCTGCCAGAAGGGGCACGGGGTGCTGTTGTAGGGGCCTGCTCCCGCCTCTGCCTCCCAGCATGGCCTGACTGGAATGTGCAGGTGCGGGTGGCTAGAACCTCCTGCTGGCTCCCTCAGAGTCTCCGAGCATAGGAAGCTCGTAGTTCTTGTGTTGAGGGGAGAAACCCAGTGTGAATGCCTTTGTGAGTGCTACGGTGCCCCGCTGGCTGCACTTAGGTGGTCTTGTCCTTCTTGCCTCTGGTCTGTGCTTTCCCTGAGTTACTGAGATGACAACTCCCGTTGGCATTCTGGACTTTTCCTGTGCAGGGGCAGGGGTGGGAGGGTCGCACTGCACAGCGTGATCCAGAACATTCCACATCAAGTTGCCAAACTGCAAAGTAGCAGAATCCACACCTGCTGTGCGGCTCTGTTCAGGGTCCTGGTCCTGCGGGGTCTTGAACTTTAAGGAGTTTTTGATACAGGAATGTTTAGGCTTCAAAGGCATTTATTTTACCCTGTCATTTCAGCCCATATATTTTATTTGCACTAATTGTAATCAACGAGTTTCCCTGATGGCCCTGCCTGCCACTTGCTCCGAGCGTGTCGCTGCTTAGCGTGTGTCATTATTCCATGAGGGAGAACTATGCAGTGCCCTTTATGACAGTTGGTGGGCCTGGCGGGGCCATGGTGCCAACTGGACACAGCGAGCAGCAGCGCCTCACACAGATTCTGATGGCCTGTCTCTTGGGCCCTTGACCAGAGCCTGTGGCCAGTGTCAGTCATGATCTTCCCTCAGATGGCCGTGCTCAGGACCAGGTGGGCAGCTCAGTGACGTCACAGCCCAGAATCTTCTGAGATCTTTGGATGAGCAATTCCTGTGGCCGATTGGCCCCGAAGGGAAAACGGGAGGTTGGGTCTAATGCTGGTGCCTGCACATTGTCTTCCAGGTCTTGAATCTCCACGTCCAAATATCATTCTTGGGCTGGTCATCTGTCAAAAAATAAAGCGTCCTTCCAACACCGGGGAGTTGGACAAAGTGGAGGAGAGGCGGGGCCGCCCGCAGGAGGAGGCTGACATCTCGACTGGGCCCAGGACTTCTGTCACCACCCCAGGCGACAAGAAGCCCTCGAGGTACCCACTCAGCTCAAGTGACCCAGTGCTTAGCACCACGCCCCCTGCGTCCCCACCCCCACCCCCCCCTCTTCCAGAGCCACCCACCTCAAAGGGGCTGGCGTCCCTCAAGTCTGCAGCCACCAGCTCCATCCCAGGGCCTCCCCCGGCGCCTGTGCCCGCAGCGCCCACTGTGTCCACACCCACTGCGCCCAAGACGGCCTCGCCACTGGAGCACATCCTGCAGGCACTCTTTGGGAAGAAGAAATCCTTCGAGCTGCCTGGCAAGGAAGCTGGGGGCACTACCCCCACGCCCCTCCAGGAGCCTGGAGCCCCGCCGGACAGCAGGGCCCCAGCAGCCCCTCTGCTGGATCCCATCGTGCAGCAGTTTGGCCAGTTGTCGAGAGAGAAGGTTCCAGTGGAGGAGGAAGACGACAGGCCCTATGACCCAGAGGAGGAGTACGGCCCCGAGAGGGCTCTTGACCCTCAGCTCGCCGCTCCGCCGGCGTGCCCCTCTGGGGAGCCTGTTCCAGAGGCTGCCGAGAAGGAGGAGGTGGCCTACGACCCTGAGGACGAGACGATATTAGAGGAGGCCAAAGTGACTGTGGAGGACCTGCCCAACAGGATGTGTGCAGGCACAGGGAGCGAGCCCGCGGACACCCCCACCCCCTCCCTGGTGGAGCAGCAGAAGATGCTGGAGGAGCTGAACAAGCAGATTGAGGAGCAGCAGCGGCAGCTGGAGGAGCAGGAAGAGGCACTGCGGCAGCAGCGGGCTGCTGTGGGCGCCTCCATGGCCCATTTCTCCGTGTCCGACGCGCTCATGTCGCCGCCTCCGAAGTCAGCTCTGAGCAGGGCTGAGCTGCCGGAGCAGGGGTGCCCCTTGCCCATCGCCCCAAACCCCGCTGCCCAGGCAGCACATCTGAACACAGAGGCGAGACAGCGCCGAGACCCACGGCAGGCCAGGCGGCTGGCTGCTGAGAGCAGCGAGGCCCCAACGGGCAGCAGCCAGGGGGGCCCTGCAGCCAGGGAGGCTCCCCCGCAGGGGCCTGTGCAAGCCCAGGAAGAGAGAGAGGCAGCACCTCCCCCGTGGGTTCCTCCTGAAAAGCCACCCCTGCTCCCCAGCCAGGACTGCCAGAGGGCTGAGCACTTGGGGAACTCGGGCCAGCTGCCCCTGGATGGCATCCATCCTGTGGCAGGCGGAGACGTCGTGGCCAGGCCTGCCCGCAGGGTGCTGCTGCCCACACCCCCTAGCACCTCCTTGCAGCCTGGCTTCGTGCTGCCCAGCGATGGGCAGAACTTTGGTCAGAGCCCCTACCCCATCCCTCCATTCACACCTGGGGAACAGCCTCTTGGCTCGGCACCCTATGAGAGCCCAAGACACACCCCACCTGCTGGCCCAGTGGCCAATGTGGACATGGGCAGGGAGCCTCCAGGCAGGCCGGGGGAGGGCACTGTCCCCTTCCCCCCACCCGGGCACAAAGGAGGGGCCCCCTTTCAGCCCCAGTTTCCAGGCCCGCGGGAACCAGTGCCTCGTGCTTTTGGGGTGCCTGGACTACCCGGTTCCAGCTTCCCGGGTCCTAGGGGGCCAGGCCCCTCGTTTCCCGAGGAGAACACTGCTCCCAGTGACGGGCCAAGGGGGCCTCCTGCCAGATTCGGGGCCCAGAAAGGGCCCATGTCTTCCTTGTTTCCTGGTCAGCATGGGCCCCCTCCTTATGGGGAGGCCAGGGGCCCCTCACCCCCCTTCCTCGGCGGCCCCAGAGGAGTGGCACCTTCTCAGTTTGAAGAGCGCCAGGACCTGCATGCGGAGAGCAGGGACTTCCAGGAGGTGGTGTACAGTGAGCTGCCTGGCCCGCCAGCCCAGTTTGAGGGGCCCGAGCGAGCCCCAGGTGCAGGTGGCCGAGGCGGGATACCCTTCCAGTGTGGCGGACAGAGGCGGCCTCTGCTGTCCCAGCTCACGGGACCCCGGGGAGGCCCGCCTCCATCTCAGTTTGGGGCTCAGAGAGGACCCCCACCTGGCCACTTTGTGGGCCCACGGGGGCCCCATCCGGGCCAGTTTGAGGGACCCCGAGGCCAGGCACCAGCCTTCATACCAGGTCCCAGGGGGGTGCAGCCGCAGCCGTTTGAGGAGCAGAGGGTGAACTCGCCACCTAGGTTTGGGGGTCAGAGAGTACCTGCACCTCTACAGTTTGGCGGGCCCAGGGGATCTGTGCCCTTTTCAGAGAAGAACGAGGCAGTACCTTCACGGTTCCCCTTCCAGGGCCAGCCCCCACAGGGGCTGAAGCCTGGCCCTGCGCCCCGGCCTCTGCTCGAGCTCCCTGGCCATCCGCAGCACAGGAAGGACCGCTGGGATGAGGCTGGGTCAGCTTCAGCTGCACCCTCGGACTCCTCTGGGCAGGGCCTTGAGGCTGATGGGCAGTGGACAGCCAATGACTTCCGCGAGGGCAAAGGCCACGAGTACAGGGGCCAGGCCGTGGAGGGCCGGCTGAGGGAGCGTTTTGAAGCTGGCCCCCGAGAGAAGTCACTGGATGAGCCTGAAGGACAGGTGCCAGAGAGTCGGCAGGGCCGGGCCTTCGAAGACCGCAGGCGAGAGAGAGAGCGAGGTCGGAACTGGAGCCGGGAGTGGGACCGGCACAGAGAGAAGGACGCTGGCCGGGAGTGGGACAGAGGCCGAGAGCGGAGCTCCAATCGGGAGCGAGAGCGAGAGCGGGACCGAGACCGAGAGCGGGACCGGGACCGAGAGCGAGAGCGGGGCCGCAGCCGCAGCCGCAGCCGCAGTCGCGACAGAAGTCGGAATCGGGACCGGGAGAGAGACCGGAGACGGGACCGAGATCGCTCCCGCAGCAGGGACCGGGACCGGGACCGTGAGAGGTCAAGGGACAAGGACCGGGAACGTGGCCGTGACCGTGACCACAGGGACCACAGCAAGAGCAAGGAAAGCACGCGGGACGCCCGGGATGGGGGCACTGCCTCTGTCCAGGCCTAGAGGCCGACGCCTGGCCCTGCGGGTCCTCGGCTCGCACTGTTGGGAACCGCTGTGACCTTGGTGCGGGAGAGCAATTCTGGACTTCAGAAATGACTGGTTTTGTGTATAATGGTTTCTTAGAAAAATTTCACAGCTGCAATTCTGATGCTTTTTTAAAATAAGAACTCTAATATTTCCATTTAAAATTACAGAAATGGGAAGGCATCTAAAAAGCATATTGCTTTTCTGAGGTTATAAATTCTTTTGTGGTGACCTGACGGTTGTAGACATGGGACGTTGTGGGGCCCGCGTGGCTGCAGCAGTGCTGACACCTGGTGCCGACAGCCACGAGGGGCTCCCGTCCGGAGTGGCCCTGGACCCCCGCGGACAGCCTCGGCTTTCTTCAGCCAGGAATTTACGCTTATTTCTGTCACCTCATTTTTCAGAACGCGGCTAAAAGCAGCAACCTTCCCACTAAAGAAACTTGGCATTTTAAACAAGGATTTGTTGAACATGTTTCCATTGGACCAAGCCGAGATAAAGTGGACAGTCTGGTGTTGCGGGAGAGGGCGGGTGTGCCTTTGGGAACATTTCTTGGTCAGATTTTGCCCTCCGAGCAGCTCTTCTTGATTGCAGGCCGTTCAGCTCTTCAGTTGATGAATTGTTGAAAATGGAGCACAGTGTTGGTGGCGGGGGAGCCAGCAGTGACGTGGCAGCCCACACGGGCCGGGCTCACTTACCTTGTAAAAACTTTAGCAAAAGAAATTCATATTTTCATAAATTGACTCTTGCAAACCTAAGACCAGAATGCGTTTCTTCGGTAGAGTCTGTCCCCTCGCAGCCCGCCTGGAGGGCGCGAACGCTCTCGCTCTGTCCACCCACTTGTGGTGTGTGGCAGCAGGGATGGGGCCGGTGTCCATTGTCACGTGGGGGCTTTGTGTTTGTTGTTGCTTTTTCTTTTTTTACAATATAAAGCAGATTTTTCTAATTTAAATACACAAATGTAAAAATCAAGTGTGTTCCTTTAGGGTTACTTGATAGAGGTTTGTGTAAATTGTATTTTATATTGCAGAATATTGTATCACGTACGTGACACACAGACTTGATAGGTTTTGTTACTTGATGCAGAATAAACACCCACACAACGTTGTCTTAGCTGTCACTGAGCTCAGGGTGGGCGGGACTCCCAGGGTACTGCGGTGGCAGTGGCTGGGTGGCAGGTCCACTCGAGCGCGGGCCCCTGGCTTGTTGCCCCTTCCTGGACCCGCCTGACCCATGGTGGACAGCTGCCATGCAGGCCCAGCCCTTGGGCTCCCCCCGGGGAACTTGGGGGGGTCAGAGCTGGCGGCCAGAGCTGAGGCGTTCCTACAACCAACCTGCTCTGGTAGGCAGCATGTCAGGCTGCCAACCCATGTGCAGGAGCCACCCCTGCCGGGCGGTACCCAGACACTGGCTGGCAGCTCTTGGGCCCTCAAGTGCTCATGGTCAGCCAGGAGAGTCCTCTGTCCCCAGCAATGCTGAGGGCCAGTGGCAGTGGCTGCTCAGGCTGAGGGTGGCCTTGGGGGAGCATCACCCCCAAACCAAGGCTTAGACGAGGTCACCGCCATGTCCCTCACTCCCAGGGCACTAAGAGGCACACGGCTTGGTGGGGGCTCCGAGGTCGCAGTGCGGGACAACCAGGGCTCAGCTCCGCCACAAACAAACCTGACCACCACAGTGGGGAGCCAGCAGCCAGAAGTCCCAGCGCCTGTGTGAGTGCACAGCCGCACACCCACACCCCCCCACGTGCATCCGTGGGCACTGGAGAAGCTGTCACACACAGCCACGCGGCCGTCTCACGCCATGGCTTCCCACCGCCCTGCTCGGCGTTTCGGGGGGCCATGGCTGGGCATGAGGGTGGCAGTCTGCCACGGCGCCATGCTCAGCAGCACCAAGGGCCTCACCGCCCTTCCCTGTTCTTCCCCTCTGTCCTTCCCGTCCTTCCCCTCCATCCTTCCTGTCCGTCCCCTCTGCCCTTCCCCCGCCGCCCCACAGACCCGGGATGTCCCTGATGGGGTCTGCGGCGCACGCGCGGCCGCCGCGGGGGGGGGGGAGGGGGCGAGGCCATCGGCGGGCGTCGAGTCGCGCTGAACGCCGGAAGCACGTGCTCGCCCCTCGCCCGCCGCGTGCGCGCGCAGCCGCCCGGGGGGCGTGGCCGCCGCCGGAGGGGCGGGGCGGCGGGCGGTTGGGCGGGGGGCGGGGCGGCGGGTAACGGAGGGGCGTGGCCTCGCCGGGGCGGGGTGGGGTTACCGTTGCGGAGGCGGGGCGGCGCAGGCGCGCTGCGAGGCGCTCAGCGGTTTCCGCCCCCAACGGCGCGCCCCGCGGTGGCCGGCGCTACGTCCGGCGTCCGCTCGGGCCGGGTGGCCGCTGCCCCGCCCGCGTCCCGCGTCCCGCGTCGGCCGCCCGCGCCCCGCCGCCGTTGGGCCGCGCCGCGCCGCCATGTCGGGCCCCGGGCCGCGGGAGCAGCCGCCGCCTGAGGCGGGCGCGGCGGGCGGCGACGCGGGCCCCGAGGGCGCGGGCGGCGGGGACGCGGCGCTGGGCGAGCCGGGGCTGAGCTTCACGACCACGGACCTGAGCCTGGTGGAGATGACGGAGATCGAGTACACGCAGCTGCAGCACATCCTCTACTCGCACATGGAGGCGGCCGACGGCGAGCTCGAGGCGCGCCTCAGCTCGGCGCTGCTGGCCGGGCCGGGCGCGGGCGCGGCGGGCGTGGGCGCGCTGGGCGCCGCGCCGCCCGTCTACCCGGTGCTCTGCCCGCCCGCGCTGGCGGCCGACGCGCCCTGCCTGGGCCACATCGACTTCCAGGAGCTGCGCATGATGCTGCTGAGCGAGGCGGGCGCGGCCGACAAGACGCCGGGCGGCGCGGACGCGGCGGGCGCGGGGGCGCGGGCGCGGCCCGACGGCGCCAAGGAGGGCCCCGAGGGTGCGCCCGAGGCGCGGGCCAAGCCGGCCGTGCGCGTCCGCCTGGAGGACCGCTTCAACAGCATGCCGGCCGAGCCGCCGCCGCCCGCCCCGCGCGGCCCCGAGTCCGCCGAGCAGCCGGGCGTGGCGCTCAACAAGTGCGTCGGGGGGCCGGGGTGCCCGGCGGGGCCCGGGGGCGAGGCCCGCCGCCTCACGGGGCCCGGGCCTCCTGTGTCTGGCAGTTTGGTGACTCTGATCCGGCACCCGTCCGACCTGATGAATGTCCCTCTCCATCAGCAGCAGAACAAGTGCACGGCGCTCGTGAAAAACAAGACGGCGGCCGCCACGACGGCGCTGCAGTTCACCTACCCGCTCTTTAGCGGCGGCGCCTGCTCGGCCGCGGGCAGCTCCGGCCTGGCGCAGACGCAGGTAGCGGCCGCCCGCGGGCTGGGGAGCGGCCCGAGCGCGGGGCCGTGCGCTGAGCGGCTGTCCGTCTCCCGCAGAGTTCGGGGAGCTCCTGCTCGGCCGTGGAGGCCGCCAAGCACCAGGACCTTGGGCTGCCGCGCGCCTTCTCTTTCTGTTACCAGCAGGAGATCGAGTCCACCAAGCAGGCGCTGGGCAGCAGAAGCAAAGCCTTGCCCGAGCAGGTTTGGATCAAAGTGGGAGGTAAGCTATGACTGACGCGTGGGGGGCCCTGGGGTCCCCGAGGGCGGAGGCGCGAGGCTGAGCGTGGCTGGGAGTGCAGGGGATGCGGCCCCAGGGAGAGGTGGCGGAGGAGTGGAGAAGTCTGGGCGCTGCCTGCAGGCAGGCTGGGGATGGGCGCTGGAGCCAGAGGCCCCAGTGAAGAAGGAAAACCCTTGACCTGGCAAGTTTGTAGAGAAAAACAAAAACAAAATTCTCCAGCTACTCAGTAAAGCAGCCCAGCTTGTGCTGTGCGGTTCCAGACCGGAGGCAGCTGGGTGGCCGGTGGCATGCGTGGCTGCCCCCATGTCGCCCTGTGACTGCTTCTCGTCACACGTGCCACATGCTGCCAGTCTTGCTGTTAACGTTCCTAAAGGCTGGAGGTGAGGGGAAAAGCCAGCCCCTTGTTCACTGCTGTGATGAAGGGGTGAAGTGCCATCAGGCCATGGGAAGGCTTGCCAGTCATCCCAGGCCAGAGGACACTGGAGGACGGGTTTTGTGTGGGGCGTGGGAGTGCCCCTGCTCGGACACTGCTGTGCTTGGCAGAGGGAAGCTGGCAGGTTCTGTGGCGTGCACAGCATGGCGTGGAGCACAGTGTGGTGTGGCGCACAGCATGGCGTGTTGCGGTGTGGCATGGTGCATGGCATTTGCACAGCATGGCATAGCGCAAAGCGTGGCGTGTTGCAGTGTGGCATGGCGCACAGCGTGGCATGTTACATAGTGTGGCATGGTGCATGGCATTTACACAGTGTGGTGTGGCGCACAGCATGGCGCACAGCCTGGCATCAGGCACTGTGTGGCAATGGTGCATGGCATTTGCACAGCGTGGCGTGCAGAGCCTGGCGTGCACAGCATGGCTTGGCACACAGCGTGGTGCGGTGCACAGTGTGGCGTGGTGCGGTGTGGCACACTGCCTGGCATGCACAGCGTGGCATGGTGCACAGCATGGCATGCACAGTGTGGCATGCCCCACAGCATGGTGCAGTGCACAGCATGGCGTGCTACACATTGTGGCATAACAGTGGTGCACAGTGTGACGTGGGTACATGGCCTCCAGGCCGTCTGCCACTGACTGTCCCTATTGTGGACAGAGCGGGAAAGGGGGGAACTGGCCCTTCCTGCTTTCTCTCTTTGTGGAGGACATCTGTTGATGAGCTCGGGGCTTCTGACACGATGCATAGGCTGCCTAGTGCTGGGGAGGGGGATTCCCCTCGTACCTGGTGGGGTGGGCCGGGCGGTGCTGTTCCTGGGTTCCCCCACTTCTGTGCTGTGGTGTGGCAGCTGGTTAGGAATACCAAGTTGAAATACTGCTCTTTCCTTTTTTTGCAAAGAAGAAGCGCTATGTAAACAAGCGATCAATAAGAGGAATCGGAGTCGGATGCGGCAGCTGGACACGAACATGGAACGAAGAGCCCTTGGCGAGATTCAGAATGTGGGCGAGGGCGCCCCGGCCACGCAGGGTGTCTGGCAGGCCTCGGAGTCCTCGCAGTCCACCCTGGGCGAGCAGGCCCCGAGCGGGCCCCCGGGAGGAAGGTCTCAACGGCGGGAGAGACACAATCGCATGGAGAGGGACAGGAGGTAACGCTCGCGGGGTCAGGCCTCCCAGGCAGCCCCCAGCTGCTGCCGTGAAGGGAGGAGCAAGGAGCCGGGCTGCCTTGCTGGGCAGGGCCCCAGGCCACTCTAGGTTCAGGGATGGGCTGGGATGCCTGTGACTGACCACAGAGAAAGGACCCAGAGCCCAGTCTGCAAAGGGAGGTGCGTGGGCAGTGGGCCTGGGGGAGAACTGGCCAGGCGCCTGGAAGCCTGTCCCCTCTCCCAGGGCCAGTAGTGTTGTGTTGGGGTGCAGGGGATGCTGCCAGTCAGGGAGGCTCATGGGAGACCCAGTGCCTGGGGACTGTGGGCAGGTGTAGGGTGTGACCCCTGTGGTCTGCATCCTGAGAGCCTCCTCCAGCCCCCTGAGCTCGGGGGGGGCCAGGAGCCAGTGCTGGGCCAGTCTCGAAGCAGCCTGCACAGCCAGTGGCCGCAGGGCAGGCCCGTTGGGGTCTGTGTTGCTCCTTTGAGAAGTGCTGGGGAGGCAGAGGTTCTAGCTGTTCTGCGAAGTGCTTTGTGTCAGGATTTTGTTTACCATTCTCTGCAGGTTCACGGTCACACAGCATTTTCTGTGTGAGTGAGCACCTTCGTCCCAGGGCTCTGTCCAATTGCTGTGTTGCTAGGGCAGTAAAACACCAACTTAAATATGCAACTTTGAAACTGCAGTGGTGTCTACATTTTTTTAATCTTCATTCTCTGATTCACTCCTCAAATAGCTGCAAAGGCTGGAGGTGGGCTGGTCTGAAGCCAGGAGCCCAGAGCTTTTTCTGGGTCTCCCACATGGGTATAGGGTCCCCAGGCCTTGGGCCATGCTCTGCTGCTCTCCCAGGCCATCAACAGGGAGCTGGATGGGAAGTGGAGCAGCTGAGACTTGAACCGGCACCCATGTGGGTTGCTGGCACCACTGGCAGAGGCTCCATGCTGGTCCAAGTAGT